GCCCCCGCCGGCGCTGCCCCCACCCTCGGCCAAGGAGCTGCCCCCGCAGCCTCCTCTGCCGCCCCTGGAGCGGCCCGAGATAGAACCCTTCTCGGGCGACCCAGTCTACCTGGCTGAATTCCTGATGCAGCTAGAGACTTTCATAGCCGACCATGAGGATCATTTCCCTGGGGGCGCTGAGCGGGTGTCCTTTCTGATCTCCTTTTTCGCTGGTGAAGCCAAGGACTGGGCCGTCTCAGTCACCCAGGAAGGAAGCCCCCTGCATGCCAACTTCCCGCGCTTCCTGGATGAAATCCGTAAGGAATTCTGTGGCCCCATCCCCCCAAGTGTGGCAAAAAAAGCCATCCGCAAGCTCAAGCAGGGAGACTGTACCCTGGGCAGCTATGCAGATGCTTTTCAGTTCCTGGCTCAATTCTTGTCTTGGGATGACTGCCGCCTTCAAAACCAATTCCTCAAAGGCCTGTCAGAATTCTTCCGCAAGGAGCTCTTATGGTCAACTGAAATGGCCGACCTGGACGAGCTGATTCTCGAGTGCGTGGAGATAGAAAGAAAAGTGCGTGTCCCCAAGCCAATCCCACTCCCTGGGGTTCGCAATATTTTCTTCCCTTTTGCAGCAGACTGTAATCTTGAAGGTGAAGAGGGAGAAGAGTGCCACAGTGGGGATGAAGATGAAGAGGCATGCAGGCGCAGGCTCCAGGACAAGGACCAGGGGAGGCACGTGAGAGCTATTCAGCAAGAGACCAGGGGGGAGGAGAGGGGGAAGAGGGAGGAAGAGATGAGGAAGAAGGAGCTGAAACAAAAAGGGGAGGAGGACGAGGAGGAGGAGGAAGAAGAAGAGGAGGAGGAAGCAGAGGCGGACGAGGAGGAGGGGATGAGGAAGAAGAGGAAGAAGGAGGAGGAAGATCAGAATAAGGATGAGAAAGACAGTGAACATGAGGGTGGCCGCCAGGAACCGGAGCAGGAGCTCGAGCAGGAGCCAGAACAGGAGCAAGAGACAGAGGATGAGACCCAAGATGATGACCTGGATGAGCTGATGGAGATAGAGCCCACCTACGCCAATGCTTCATCCCAGACTTCTGGCTACTATCATGAAAATTTCCTAGATGTGTCACCTCCCATCATACAGCCCAGCAGACGGAGGAACCAGAATCGAGTCCCACTTCTGGAGGGCCTTCCAGGTACCAATTCACCATTCTACAGTTCACCGCCACTGATTCGCCGGGCAGGTCGCCTGGGGCAACGCCAAATACGACGCCGTCCCCCGGTGCTATTCCGCCTCACTCCGAGGCAGGGGGGCCACCGGGCTGCGCGGGGCCGCATTCGAGTGTGAGAGCTGGGGCGAGCTGCCCCCACCCCGGAACACACCCTTCCACTGCGTCCCCTGCCCCTGCTTTCGCTGCCACACCTGCCCCATTGACCGACCAGTACTTAAGGGAGTTCCAAACCTGCAGAACCCGAAGAAGACCTGGAGAACTCCAGACCTTCCTGCGACTGTGACCGGGGAGTGACACCAGGGAAAGGAGGGCTCAGCAATAGCTGCCCTCTTGGTGTGCACTCTGCTCCGTCCTGCCACGAGCTAGAGAGCAGGTGTCTGGGCCTGTTCCTGTAAATGAACTGGTCACCCTCTTGTATTTCCCCTCTAGTTGTTCCCAGCCCTCACCTCTCCTGCGTTTATTCACGCTGTGTTCTATGGTTTAATCCTCTGACTAGCTAACCAGGACTTCACCCAGTGCCTCACTGCTCTGCCGCAGTGAGTGAAAGGACAGGCTCCACTCAACTCTTAAAGCCACTGAGGCCACTTACTAGGTATAATCAGTGGAGAGCAAATGCTATCAAGAAACAGTCCTGGAAGCCTACACTTGCTTCAGGTCACCCCTCCAGCAGGAGGGCCCTGAAGAACCCCCTCCATCTAGCCCAGTGATAGTATGCAAAACCACGTGTCCAGTGGACCACCCAGCTGAGACCTGACCTTGACTGACTGAGCAAGCTGGTTCACCTTCCCACAGACTACAGGCTCAGGGCCTCAGGGCTCTCCAGATCTGGGACCCTCTCCTCTTACTACAGTACCCTCCTGGGCATCCCCAGTGGGCAGAGCCCAATGTTCCATGCCCTACCCTTTTCCTTGATGTTGCCTAGAGGGTAGGCAGTTGGGTGGGGGAGCCGGAGGAGGAGAAAGCAGCAGCAACAACTCAGTTTGACCTTGTAAGGAGTGACTCTTTCCTTAGGGGAGGTGGTCTCCTCCCCCGGCCAGGCCTTGGACTGCAGTCTCCAGCCAAAGGTCTTGGCAGAAGATTTGCCACCCTTGGGGTTCCAGAGGTGGCCTAATTGGCCTTTCCTTCCCAGACTGCCAGAGAGAGAGGCCCAAGGCCTGCTCTTCAACTCCAACTTAAAGGACTCCTTATTTCTGAGAGTAGAGAGGAAGGTCCTCTCTACAGACGCTTCACCCACTGCAGCCTTGCAGTCGGGATGACCTTGTGTCTCTCACATTCGGGGCAAGCCATGGCCTGGCACTGGGCATCGAGTAGGCGGTGAGGCCTAAGCGGTTGACTGCCTCCTAGTAACTCCTGGGGCTTCTGGGTCCTAACCTAGGGGCCCTCATAGAGACCTGCTGCTTGCCTTGGGTCCAGAAAACACTGCTTCTGCAGTGAAAAATACACAGTATGTCACTCTGGCCACAGAATGCCAGTCAGATCCACTGCTGGCCTGAACTGCCCTCCACACTGGGCTTCCTGCACAGGGCCTGGCAGCCGGGCAAGTGCAGCCGAAGTGTCTGCGGCCAAAGGGAGGAAAACATAGTAAATTAAGCCTCTGTTCCTCAACGGAGTCTGATAGGTAACCGCAGCCCAGCCTTAGGATTTTGAGCCCAGAGGCAAGAGGAAGGAGCTGGAGGAAGAGGAGTCATGGAGAAACCCAGTCCTCCGGCTGGTTTCTGGTGAGGTCTCTGTTCATCAGTGGGAGGTAAGAAGCCCTTTTGTTGCTCACACATTTCTCAGCCTGGGGATCGGTGGAGCCAAGTTCCTATAACCTGTTGCTATCTTTTAAAAAGGCTACTACCCCCCTCCTCCAAAGAGAAAAGTAATACATAATCATTATAGAAAAATTGGCAAATAGAGAAAACGATAAGAACCCCAAAGCCCCAAACATTCAGAATCCCACCACACAGACGCAAGCACTGTTAACACTTTCTTTCTAGTGTGTTCTCACTGCGTCTTTTTTTTTTTTTTTT